TCGGGCTCCCTCCGCCGCGCCGACCCGGCCGCCTCCCGGCCGGCCCCGGGGAAGCCCCCCAGTCCGTCGCCCCCCTCGAACAGGTCGTAGTAGTCGACGTCGATGATGTCGGAGCCCGCCCGGCCGGGCGGCGGCTTGGCCGGGCCCGTGGCCGCCGTGATGGGCTCCTGCAGCCACGTCAGGTCCGTCCAGCCGCGAGCCCCCTGCGCCGGGGCCGGGCTGGACGGGGCCGCCCAGAGCTCCGGGGGACCCCCCGAGTCCCCCGCGGCGGCGGGCACGGGGCTGGGCTCGCCCGGCGCGGGGCTCTGGGGCGCGGCCGAGCCCCCGGCCGCCGGCAGCAGCTCAGATTCGGCCGAGTCGGTGGCGAGCTGGGGGCCGGGGGGGCTGGGCGGGGCGGCCGGGAGACCCCCGACGCCCCCTGGGCTGGGCAGGGAGGCCGCCGTGGGCCGCTCGCCGCTCCCCGGCTCCTCGGGGCTGCCCAGGGCCACGGGCACCGTCCCCCCGGCCCCGGGCCAGGTCACGGCCCCGGGGGGAACGGCGCTGGCATCGCCCTCCCCGGAGCACCCCGGGCACCCCTCCGGCGTCGCCGACGGGTCCGTGGTGGCCGTGCCCCCCCCCGGGGGGCTCTAGCTGGGGTCCTGCCGCGGCCCCCTCGGGGCTGGTGCTGTTGCTGGGTCCCCCCGGGGGGTCTCCGTTCGCCAGGTCCCATTTCGGGGGGCTGCTCTCCAATGAGCCCACCCAGGCTCTCCCCTCGGCATCGCTGGTGTTTTGGGGGGGCCGCTCAGATGCTGGAGGGGGACAAGGAGAGAAAGGCGTGTCAGAGGTGCCCCCGCACCTCTGGGAGGACGTGGCAACCCGGGGGGGGCCCGACAAGACCCCACCTGCTTACCTTGCAAACCCCCCCGCCCCCAAAAAACTTTTTGGGGGGGGGGGGGTTCCACCCTGAATCCTTGAGCCTCTCCCAAGGACCAAAGGGATGAACCCTGCAGAAACCCCCAGCTCTGATGGAGCCCCTGCACCCAGTCACCCCCACAACTCTGTGACCCCCCCCCGGGCAATAGAGACACCCCCCCAACACGGCCCCTCCCAAACCAAGATGCCCCTGGCCCAGCCCCCTCAGCTGCCCTGCAAGGGGATCCAGCCCTCTGGTTCCTGTAAATGCACCCCACACACACAGGGGGACTCAGCTCCCTGGAATGGGATCCAGACTCCCCCTCGCCCAGCAGATCCGGCCCCCCCGGGGAGGGGATCCAGCCCCCTGCAATGGAATCCAGCCCCCTTCCGAGGGGATCAGCCCCTCTGGCTCCTGCACATGCATCTCACATACAAAACAGGATTCAGCCCTTCCCACAACGGGATCCAGCCCCTACAAGGGGATCCAGCCCCCTGCAACAGGATCCATCCCCCTTCCAAGGGGATCCAGCCCTCTCTGGTTCCTGCATAAACATCCCATATGCACAACGGGATCCAGCCCCCTGCAAGGGGATCCAGCCCCCTTCCGAGGGGATCCAACCCCCTTCCAAAGGGATCCAGCCCCCTTCTGAGGGGATCCAGCCCCCTTCCAAGGGGATCCAACCCCCTTCCAAGGGGATCCAGCCCTCCTCCGGTTCTTTCAAGTGCACTCCATATGCACAACCAGATCCAGCCGCTGCAACAGGACCCAGCTCCCTGCAAGGGTATCCAGCCCCCTTCCAAGGGTATCCAGCCCCTCCTGCAATGGAATCCAGCTCCCTTTCAAGGGGATCCAACCCTCTCTGGTTCCTGCAAGTGTGCCCCATAACCCCAAGAGGATCCAGCCCCTGCAAGAGAATCTCGTCCCTCCTGCAAGGGGCTCCAGCCCTTCCCTGCCTCCTGCAGATGCCCCCCCTACACACGCGGGGATCCAGCCCCTGCCGCAGGGGATCCGGCCCCCGGCGGGGGGATTCCGGCCGCCCTGCAGGGGAATCCAGCCCCACGCCAGGGATCCGGCCCCACGCAAAGGATCCAGACCCCACCGCAAGGCATCCGGCCCCCGGCAAGCGGATCCCGCCCGCCCCGCAAGGGGATCCAGCCCTTCCCCGTCTCCTGCAGATTCCACCACGCATAAAGGGGATCCAGCCCCGGCAACAGGATCGACACCACCAACCCCCCCCCCCCACCCGGGGCCCCCCCCCCCCCCCGCGGGGGCTGCCCCCCCCGGCGGGGGCCAGCCCCCCGCGGGGGGGCCCCCCTCCCCGCCCCGCAGCCCCCGCCCGGCCCGCAGCATCCCCCCCGCTCCCCACCCGGGCTGGGGATCCCCCCGCGCCGGGATCCGCCCCCCCACCCCCCGTCCCCATCCCGCGTCCCCCCCGCGCCCGATCCCCGCGGTCCCGGAACGCACCGAGGGCGCCGATCACGAGCAGCAGGGCCAGGGCGCGGGGGGCGCGGGGGGCCATGGCGGCATGGAGGGACCCCGGCTGGGCCAGGGGCCGGCACCGGCAGCGGCTCCGCCCGCCCCGCTCCGAGCGAGCCGCGCCGAGCCGAGCGGAGCCGCGCCGAGCCGAGCCGGGGGGCCGGGCCGGGCGGCGGGGGCGGGACCGGGGACGCGGCGGCGGCACCGGGAACGGGCACGGGGGGGGCACCCCCCCCGGGCCCCCCCCAACATCGGCATCCCAGGAGGGGGACGCCGAGGGGCACGTTCCGCCTCTTCCCCGCATCGGTATCCCCGGGGGAAGGACCGGGGGGCACATCCCAGCTCCCCCCCGGCACCAGCGTTCCCTGGGGGGGGATACCGGGGAACCCATCCCGGCATCCCCCAGCGTCGGCATCCGCCGTCACATCACCCACCCCCAAAGTGCTGCTCTATGGGGCGGCGTCCCCGCACCGGGACCCCCCTGCACCCCCCAGCATCGGCATCCCCGGGGGGCACATCTTGGCACCGGCATCTCTGGGGGGCACCAGAGCACCCACCCCGGGACCCTCCAGCACCACGGGACACCTCCCGGAATCCCCCGGCACCGGCGCCCCCCTCTATCCCCCCAGAGTGCTCCTGCACGGGGCGGGGACACGTCCCTGCACCAGCTCCGGGGGCCCCTCCCAGCATCCTCAGCTAATAGGGGGGGACCCCCAATGCACCCCCGAGCCCCCCACTCCTGCACGGCCCTGGGGGCAAAGCCACTGCCCGGGGGCACCGTGGGGCTCTGGCCCAGAGCGGGGGCTGTGACCACTCACACCCCCCAGCAGAGACCCCAGTGTCGGGTCACACCCTCCTTGACCCCCCTGTGGGCTCCCCACAGCCACGGTGCCACTTCCCGGTCCCAGAGTGGTCCGGGTGCCACCAGGGCTTGTGTCATCTGTGACCCATCCATGAGGGGCTGGGGATGAGGGCAGGGGTACAGGCAGGGGATGTGGGCAGGGGGCTGCTCCCACCAGTGGCTCAGGCAGGACGTGTGTGCGGGAGAGCGGCGGCTCCTTGGCTGTCCCAGCACCCCAGGCTCCATGGATACCCCATCCCCCATGGATACCCCATCCCCCATGGATACCCCGTCCCCCACGGCCACCTCATCCCCCACGGCCGAGCTCTCGGCTGGCTGAGGCTCCCCAAGGTCACCGTGTGTCCTTGGATACCTCCACCTGCAGCACAGGAATGTGCCCGTCACGGCTGCTCCCCCATCCTGCATCCCACGTCAGGCATTCCACATCCTGCATCAGGCATCCTGCACCGAGCATCCCAAATCCTGCACTGGACATCCCACATCGGACATCCCACATCAGGCATTCCACATCCTGCATCCTGCACTGGGCATCCCACAACCTGCACCCCACATTGGGCATCCTGCATCCCACGTCCCACATCAGGCAGTCCATAACCCGTGGCAAGTATCCCACATCCTGTATTCCACATCAGGCATTCCACATCCCAAATCCCGCATCCCGCATCAGCCATCCCACACCCACATCCCAAATCTTGCATCCTGCATCAGCCATCCCATCCCACATCCCAAATCCTGCATCCCGCATCAGCCATCCCACACCCACATCCCAAATCCCACCCCAGTGAGGGATGCTCGGGGCAGGGCCAGGGGCCCTGGGGGGCAGCAGGGGCTCCCTGGGGGTCCCATTTCGGTGCCCCCCATGTGGGTCCCACATCAGCTGGGCTGTGACCCCCTCTGGTCCCTCCCTGACCCCCCCGTCCTGCTCCGAGGGGCCCCTGTGTGTGCAGGGCTTGGGGCCTGGGCTGGGGGCACTGCCAGGGATGGGGGTCCCCTCTCCCCCCCCAATTCCTGGCTGGGCTCCGTGAGCCAGGAACAAGCCCCGCTCTGTCCCTCTCAAAGGGGGATTGAAGGGGCTGCACCTGCTTAGTATTCCCCAGGCTTCCGCCCCTGGATGCGTTTCCAAGGGGACGGGCCGAGGGGCCGCCGGGATGGAGGGGGGACACGGCTCTGACGGCCGGGAAAGGGTTGGGAAGAGGCGTCGGGGTCCCACGGGCTGGGGGGTCCCTGGGCCAGGCCCCCACCGGGGCAGCAAGAGGCCAAGGGAAGGAGGGTGGGATCCGGGATGGGGATGGGATGGAGG